TGATGAGGCATTTACTGACTCCGTCGAACTTGGCTCTTATGGGTCAACGAACAAGATCAGGAGGTCGCTGGGGGTTTTGTGGGGGTTTTATACACTGTTATGATTTTTATAGAAGCCTTTTTGTCCGTGGAAAGTGGAAAATACCTGGTAGGGCAGGGCTTCTAGATGAGCTTTTATGGTCTCATTCAGAGCGAGAGTGGAAGGTCAAATTGTTGTACTCTGTGTGTATTACTCAGATAAAGGATAACTGCACAGGTGGGGCTGTCATGTTTCTTCCCATGAATCCACAGTCATTCCTATCTGAAGATTTATTTCACCTGTGGAAAAGCTACACTGGAGAGTTTTAAACTTAATACACAGACATTGTAAAGAAAAGACATTTTCAAAGACTTCAAAACTTTATTTAAATGTTGATCATCAAAAAATGTGTAATCAATAAATTTGAATCGTTTTTTATTTTTAAAGAGACCAGACAGCAGATACACTGTACTATCTTAGATTAAATGACACTGGCATTACCAAAAAAAGGACAAAATAGACAAAAAAATTGTAGCAGGAATGGAACAATGTATTGATGAGCTACTAAGAGATTAAGATTGTTCATTTCTTGTGGGATTTGCACCACATTTGGCATGGTAGATCTGGAGCACACCAGGTGTTAGTGGGCTATATATATAGTTCTTCAAATAGCTCAGTTTGAACCAAAGTGATGAACAACCCATTACTACCATCCCTATTAAAGCTTATAAAAGACAAAAAGTGAAAAATGGGTATGTATCAGGACCTAATAAATGAATAAAAGAAAGAAAATAGGTATAAAAGAAATCACTCAGATAAAAACACTTAACGTATCTGAAATTCATTTTAAGCAGCCTTACCGCTTTTAATGTACCAATTTAATATGTTTTGACTGAAACGATGACCTTACTGTCTGGTAGTTTTTAGCTGGTAAACTGGCTGCTGCTGGTGGATTCGGGATGTTTGTTGACCGCTACGGTTTCCTGCTGTGATGCGCCCAACTAATGTTTTAATAGAGGCAATATAAAAATCTATAAATGACTGGAGGTGGAAATGGTCGAAAGCTGATCCAACAGGACTCTGTCTGGTCAGGAGGTTAAAAGCTTTATCTGGACCAGACTGATAACTGATTTTCAAATCAGGATCAGCAGGTCCAGGCCTGTCTAGAGGGAGATCTAGAGTACGTATGCCTCATTTCAAAATAATATAATGTCGTGAGAAGCTTAACACCCTGAAGAATATAATGAAATGTTAAAAATGTGGTTGGAAAGAGTGGGCCAGTTAACTGTTTTCAGCATATGATGTTTATAGTCCACACAGATTGTTTCACGTTTTATGATCAATGATTTACATTTTCTAATCTTGGGAACACATAGAGTACACACCAAGTTCATCAACATTACCTCGTACAGCTTCTCCAACATACATCTTCAGTCATCTTAACTTTATCTGGGTGGAATCTGATGTGGTTGGGGTTATATTCAATATACAATCAGTTGTGGCTCTCCAAGAGAAATATACAAGGCCATGAATACAACACATACAGCTTTTGAAAACATTCATTTGGAACAGCAACACTCTTTCTGCTAGGGCTGTGAATGATAATTTTTTTCACTATCGTTTAACTTTTTGATTATATTTACAATCACAGAAGAACAATTTAGTCAGAAAAATGTCTGACAGTTTGTCAGAAGGTCTTCATATGTCCTGTTTTGTATAACCATCCAAAACCAATATGGTTTCATTTTGTAATAGGAAAAGGTGCACATTAGAGGAACTGGAATCATTAAAAGGGAAATTAAAGCTATAATAAGTAACATTTCCACATTAAAATGTCGAAAACACTATATTCAATGTTCAAACCCAGAGAAATTCATCCTTTTATTCAGGCACACTGCGTTTCACTGGTCGCCTGTCAATAGCGTCATATCCCCTTTGTGCCTGCGTCAGCATTGTGGTTGTCTGCCAGAAGCTGCCATACATTGACTTTTTATCCAGTTTGAAGCCACATTTTTACCAAACATGTTAGCAGCAGCTTGGCTTGCAGCCCGTCCAGGACGTCCTTTGTCTGCCAAACAGCATCGGAAAAACATTGATTTTAGGGTGGAACTGCTTTATTCGTTGTTTTTACCGGCTTTAATTAGTGCTTGTGTGTTTTATAGACGAGACCTCAGATAATGCGGATAATTTGACTCCTGGTAGAAACCTCCTAGACAATGAACACTGAAGAAAATAATCAACAGATTAATAAATAATGACATTACTTGTTGTTGCTGATCTCTGTAGAGCTAGAGATAGCTGTAATGGGTTATTCAACTTTAATTTTGATTAAATTGTTTTCAGGCTGTTTGATTTTCACACACAGATGATTAAATGCATGAAATACCTCGTACAACTGGAGGTGTAAAGTGTTCTGTTGGATGCTTCATTTTATATCAGTAATGGCAGATTTTCTAGTCTGTGCTAAATTGTCAGTATATTTGTAGGGTTCCTTTGGCATTTTACAGTACCTGCACTTAGTACCAGGGCTTTAGTAAGTGACTTTTTCACAGGAAGCTGTGGTGATATTTATGCATGATCAGTGCATTACACTGAAGGACATGTACACCGACTGTATACAGTGCTAATGCAGTACAAGTACATGACGATTTTGTGCATTAACACAAACCTTTCAACTGAAGTGTGAGGAATATTTCTGCTGAGCCTTTATCAGTTTTCCACAGCATGTTGAGGAGAATATTGAATATTTTTTTCCAACAGCAAAGACAAACTCTGCATGAAGGCCACGCTCAATATAACACACTGGGAGAGTGTGTATGTGAGGGATGTGCACTTGACTGTCACACACACATAAACACACACACACACACACACACACACAGATGGATGCACTTAAGCCGGCCCACTCAGAGGCGACAGTTTGTATAGCCGGACCGAACACGCCATTTCACAGTGATCACAGAGTCTGTTCAGGATTAAAGTGCCGCCGTTCACACTGTGAGTGTGTCCTCTCCTTTGAAACACATGCAGACAAGTGACAGCATCAACTTCAATGCGTTTGATGTGGTCGACTTGGAGGCAAACTGTTATCTAACCTGATGTGAACAGTATGTGAACATGGATATTATCAGTGGGTTTACATTAGATTCATATCAATATAAATACTGAACTTTGTGTTCCTGTTGACTGTTTTTATTTTGTTTTCCTTGCTCCCTTCAGGCAGCCGTTGGTTTCAGTTCAATCAGCTTGCACAGACTTGAAACTTGCTCTTGACAGATAATCCATCACAGTCAACATAAAGTCACCTTTTATTTTATTCCATTATAGGTGTAGATTGAAAAGTCTGCAATGCCAAGCAATAATGACTGAACTCCTGACAGAAATAAAAACAGACATGATGTTGTTCATTGTGATGGATTAGGTATCTGAAGGTATCTGAGAGTAAGTTATGGTCAGACAATCATGAAGTAATTAGGGACCAGGGTACTTGGTAACTGCTCAGTATGATGTATCACTTTACTTGGGGTGCATAGAAAGAGTAACTAATGATTAAGTAATTAGTAATGAATAAGTCTTTACTAGTTTTTGCTTCTCAAAGGCCTTTTCCACCAACAGGGAACCGGCTCCATTCTGGTTCCAGCACCCAGTTTTAAACTGTTCAGAGCATTTCAACCAAAAATAAATTGATTCGGAACCTGAGAAGGTTAAAGAAAAAAGGGTTTTCCTTGGGAACTAAAGTGGGCGTGTCATATTCTACAGGTCTTTGTGCATTGCCCTCTGTTGATGAGCCATCTGATTAAAATGGAATGGAACCGGTTCAAGAACTAATTTGGTGGTAAAGGGGCCTTAGTTGCAGATTCAGAGTGGTGTCAGGAATGACTAATGAAGAACGTGGTCGCTATTCTGATTTACAGATATTTATGAAGCTATCATTAGCTAATGTTTTATTAATATAGTATCTCCCAGTCTTGTCTTTTATTTAGTAATTACTCATTAACAATTATTGGGTTGTTCCTGATTTGTTCCTCTTTCATTCTTTTGTAACTTCTCACAGTTTTGTGCATCGTGTTGTAAAGTGTTACCAAAAACTGATATGTATGAACGGGGGAAGCAGTTGACAGCAGCAAAAACTATGATTTATGCCCTTTCTTCGCTGGTTTGGTGCAGTAAGTGTCAAGCTGTGTCAGGGCATGTTGATGCACATTTCCACCAAGCCCTAACAGCAGGGCCAACTGTGCTGACCTGTGATATCAACCATGGCAGGAACTGAGTCACCTCAGTAAATTGGGTGACAGTAAGCACTGATTTGGTGATTGGGCAAAAACGACATCTTGATGTCTGGTCAAATTCAGGCAAACTTGATTAGAAAGTGAGAGCTATTAAGTAGTTAGTCCAGTATATTTTGCTGAAACAATGGTTATATGTAACCTTGACTATATCTAAAATAGTTTGTTTTCAACCAAATTTACCCTGGGTTTAATATAGACCTGCAAATTCCTGGATAGAGGAGCAGAACTTATTTCAAATGCTTATTGTGATCAGCCTTCTTTAATTTCATGCCAACAGTTCAGTTCTGACCTTCATCTAACAGACAGCAGTTTGTTAGTCTGTTGTTTCTGATCTGCTCTACTTTGTCATGCTGTCAGAGCAGGAATTAAGTCTGTGGCTGTATTACGTTAAAAGTTTTCCTCTGGCAAAATGGCTGCAAGGCTTTTATTGTAAAGCAGCTACAGTAAATATCGGCTTTGTCACAATGCTCATCAGCCAAATGTTAACTCCTTGAGGAATGAGCATTGTTTTTGGTAAGCCGTGTCCTTGAAGTAAGGGGCATATGTTTGTTTGGGGCCATTTTCACCACCGTACAAGCAACTACTTTGCGTTTAGAAATAATCACCAGATGAATGGTAGGTGCTGAGATCTCTGATCATCAGGTAATGCGAGACCAATGGTCATGTAACTGGCTCTACTTTTTTGTCTTTCAGGTTTATGAGCAGGATGACCTTTCGGAGCAGATGGCCAGTCTAGAAGGGCTGATGAAGCAGCTCAACGCCATTACCGGCTCCGCCTTCTAACCTCTTATTTCAGCCCAGCCCAGCCCTCAGCCATGGTCCAGTCTGGAACCCTTCTTCAAGCCTTGATGTCACCTGCTGTCCATTCACTATGGGCGCCAACAGGTCAATCTGGGTTTGAAGACGCCTCTGCGGAATCAGACCTCCATCTGTGCTGGGTTGAGTTTGTTTGGTTTCTACTGGTCTCAGTCATTGTCCACTGTGGTGGGACCTGGATTGGATAGAAGGGAATTAAATAGTGGATAAACACTACAGCAGCACAGCATCAACTCCAAGAACAGGACAAGGGTGGAGGGGCTTCTTTAGGAGTTCAAACTGAAACCCCTCTAGACTCTTCAACCTCAAACACAAAACTAGAAAAACCCAATGCCTAGCGCCTTGACTTAGTGACACAGGATGATGGGATCATCACAAAAAATGTTATAAGATCCATCCTGTTTCTCTTCTTTGTGGTATTTATTAGCGTCCTCCGCTGAGTTATCCACAACTCAGTTACTGTGACTGTACCTCACTTATGTTTCATGATCGCTGTTGGAAGTATTCCTTTGTCTTTTGTTTTTTGTTTGGTATTCCAACTTTGTGCAGTCACGGGATGAACATTAAGAGAAAACACATCCTCAACCACCAAAGTTTCACCAAAAACTTTTCTCCCTTGGAGCCAAGGTTTTTTGTTGTGGTGACAGGAGGTGATTCTCTCCACCATTTCTTCTTTTGCCTTTCTCTTCCGTCTCTCTTTTTTTCCTCTTGAACAAAACAGTAAGATTATACTGAACCAACTATCAACCATAACCCATGCAGCCCCTTCACCTCTGGATCTTGAGGTTTAAAAAAAAAAAAAGTGTGAGAACCTACTAGACCAGTCTGAATCATCTGGATCCAGCTGACTCTACTCTTACAGGACTGTATAGAAACCTCTATAGACTCCCACAGTCTATTGCTGCTCTTGACCAAGCCTTTACTCTCCCTAACCCAGACAAATCCTACAAGGACTTGTGTCGTTGCCAAACACTCATCTTGGAAAGCTTATTGTGACCTATATTTTTGCACCATATTCAAGTCTGGCTTAGTTCCAAACGTGGACTGGAAATCAGTGAAAAGCAGTAAGATGATCTGTATGGAAAAGATTTTACATAAATCTGAATTTGATAGTTATGGCAGAAACCATCCCATCCTGGACAAATTGGTTTTGGGTGGTACGTGGTAATTGGTCCTTTTGAGAAATGTGTTGAAATTTGGTCTTAAGTTCTTGTTCACAATCTGTCACATTGCACTATATATGTCACATTCAGTGCATCAAGTCTCTCCCTGTACTAAAGAATGGTCACAGTCTGCAAAATGGAGAAAAGTTAAGTGAAGACTGTGTTGTTTTCTGTTCACCAAAGACAGTTACATTTTAGAGGCACAGTCACTGAAGCAAGAAATTATTAGGAGCTATAATGGAATACTATCAATTACAAGATCACAAAAACATCATCTTGTTGTCTTGAGAAAACAAATATACTGTTATCTTGAGGTAGCAAGATCATGAAGACTGAAGTCTGATAATTAGCAAACAAGTCTGGATTTTACCTACATAAAATATAAAAGCCACAAGAGCTTCTGTCAAAGTAGGAACAAATGGAAATGTGGTGTTACTGTGACAGAATAATCAATTTTGAAGAAGCAACAGGATCAAATTATTATTATCATTATTATTAAGATTAGAGATGGTAGCAGGGCAGCCGATGATAAGGAATATGATCTCTACCGTTGTTAAAATTTTCACTTATTATTTTGTCTCACCACAGTTTCAGTATGTGTTTGACTGAAGGTGAGTGTGTTGTATTTGGGCTTGCTTTTGATAAGTCCATTTTTATTTTTCATGAGAAACACACATATGTACCTCTGTCGACCTTGATCGCCCACATGGGAAAATTGCAAAACCGCCAGCTTCACTTTGAGTTTACTTCAGGGCGTTCCGTTTTTATACAAAAGTTTAAAGAAAAAAGTAACAAAAACACAAATAATGCATATTCCACAAAGTATATTTTTACATTTGCTGTCCTGTCAGAAGTGTGTTTTTTTTTTTAATTTTTTTTTTTTTTTTTTTTAACACATTTCCACAGAGAGCTACTTTAAAAGGTCATGAGCCACCATGGAAATTGTTAACCTGCAGTCTTTGAACACAGCAAAAAAGGCTTCATTTTGTCCAAAATTCAATTATGAACTGGAATGTGGAGAATCTTTTGTGCCATTTTTACTTTACTTTGAAAAGTTGAACGTGGAAACTGTTGGCACTGAGGGAATGGAAATTGAAGCATTTTGGTCTTAGGATGATCTCTGTAACATAAGGTCCAGTCAGGACGACAGCGCATCCACCCTTCAGTTCTTTAAAACAACTAGATTTTTATTGACCGCTGGAGAGAAAAACCTGATTTGGTCAATCAGTGTGAGAATTAATGGTTTGTTAAGGGAGGTTGGGGTTTTTTGTTACTCTTTGTGAAAGCGTTTGCTGAGAGAAATTAAATTTGTGAAATGTTGCAGGAAAGCAGAGTGAGCAAGGTGTACACTGAACAAGTTGGTCTGTTCTTGAGTCATAAAATTGTATTTTCAGACAATTTAAGTGCTTAACTTGCTAACCTGGTGAAGATCTTTTTTTATATCAACTCTCATTTTTCACAATTTTCTGAATTAAGAGAGATGTAATTGGAAGTAAGTTGAATTACCTCCCTCATTTTAGGGAAAGAATTTATATGGAGGCCAAGTATGTAACTAAATGACTTGTGAGGATGGAAATTTTTTGGAGTGTGCAGAAAGGCAGGAATTTAAAATGACAAATGATTCATTAATCAGCTGGGGAGGAAAAAAACAGGCCATCAGAATGCTCCATATTTGACTGTGTCACCCCAGTCACCATATTGTAATTTTCAGACCTTTATCTTTCCGTGATGAAAGGAAAAACCCTGAGGGAGACAGAGAGAGCAGTAGCAGAGGAGGTGAATTGATATTCAGAGATGGTTTGTATGTGCGGGCTGGGGCACGGAGGAATGAGGCCGGGAATTCATTATAACGCCGTTTCAAATATTATGATTCAAGCTCACGCTCGCTGGGTTGTTGCAGCTGTGGGGAAACGTCACCGGGACGGAGGGGATGGAAAGGTAACGTCTCTGCAGAACGAGCGTGGGGATGAAAGGTGAACGAACGCAAGCAGGCGGACAGTGTGGGATCAAACTCATCAGCGTGTTCTGGGAGATACCTCCAGTCTGGGCAGAGTGCTTTCATTCTGCTCCGACTCGCACTTCTTTTGCTCCTTCAGAAAGCAGAGCAGAGCTGCAGACAGATGAACAATCCAACGCGGACGGGTGAGACCGAAATTTGATTTAAAGGAAGAAAATCAGATTTTAACAGTAAATGCTAAATTAAATGGCCTGTTGACACAGGAGATTTCTTCTTTAAGTATCAAAAGGGGAAAGAAATTCGAAAACGAAGTGAGTTAAGTGATCATACTGGAGGTTTTGCACCTTTTTGCTCATTGAATATAAATCAGATTTTCTAACTGATTTTTTTCCAAATCATCCATCAATTCTTAGAACGATTCAGTTCATTTATATGAAAACCTACTTGACTTGAAAGCCTGGTTCCAGACTTTTTGAATTGCCTTTGAAAAAAAACAGAGCCAGAAAAATAGCAACCTAAGAATCGCCACGTACATTTCAAACAAACAAACAAAACGACACTATCAACCATTTTGGAGACAGTCACATCAGTTACTACCAGTTGGTTAGGCCAAACAGCACAGAAAATGGCCGACGTGAACACGAATGTCGAGTGTCGAATTAAATGATGAAGAGGTAATGAAATGACAGTTTAGTCTAGTTATCAGGCTCCCTGACACTTTGTGCGGATATATGATCTATCATTGTCTACATTAAGGAAACTTCATTTAAGCCAGCAGGGACTATTTTCAAAAACTCTCCTGGTTGGTGAGTTCAAGGACACTCTGACATTTTAAAATCAAGTCATGGCATCCATGTTTGTCTCTTCTCAGGTTCCAGCAAAGAGCTGGTTACCAGTTGGATTTCAAATCTCACTAACGCCAGCGAAGAGTCTGTGCTGGCTCTTAAATGTTTTACCACAAAACAATAGATAAGGAGGATCATGTATCTGTAGCAAGAGTCCTTCACAGTCCATTCTGTTCCTTGTGTCTAAGCCCCGACTGACCTCAGATTTAATTTCTATCCTGGTTGGGACGGGTTCTTTTAAATCATGGTGGGTTTTGGGTTAGTGAGTCAGTATGTGTAATACCCAAGTGTGCTCAGCATTGAATGTATGCACATTGGTTCGATGTCTCTGCAAGTTGATTTTCATTGAAATAGACAAACTAATGGCTGCTTGGAAGGAAGGAAATTAATCTAACTGATGGAGGATTTAGAAAATGATCAGCAGTATAGAAATTCGCAAAGTTTTATATTTAGTGAGCTAAACATGAAATGGCAGTTTGGTCTAATTTGCGTGAGGCATTTGACAACATCAGTCAGGCTGTGTAGTTATAAGCATGTCCAAAAAAGCAGTGCTGATTAGACCCAATATTGGATGCCAATTCCCTGCAGCTGTCAGAAATCACTATTGAAGGGTTCTAGATTCTTAAGTCCGATTTAAATACACAAGTTTTTCCATTAAGAGTTGTCCTAAACACCAGCCAACAGTCTCTGGATACCACAATGTGTCCAACATTTTCTTTATCATGATTCATTTGGACTTAAGAGTTTTTGTTGCTGTCGAGATAAATAAGACATCCCGTGTGCCTTTATGTTTCACCAAAACGTTTTTTTTCTTCGCCTGTATTTAGTCACTTTATTTGAAGTCTTTGTGAAAAGTTAAAATGTGCTCTGTGTTATGTTAATTTGTTCCTCCTGCATAGCCGACACACAGGGAACAGACGGCCGGCTCTACAGAGGGTTCTTCCCAAAAGCAGTGTGTCCCTTTTAAACAGAGAGATCTATAAGAAAAAACTGCTTCTTTTACTTTAGTGGCACTGATGCAATATTCCATGAGCTGTCTGGAAACAGGCACATCAGACGTGCTAAGTCTAGTGATGACAAGGATCGTTCTGTACCTGAAACACAGATCAGATGCACAAAACTGCTGGTGTGTCCATCAAAATGCCTTTGAGCGAATTCTCTATGACGCGCACTATAAAAAACCCATCCGTCCTCATGAGTCATTTAGCCTCAGATTCAACCTAAAATATGTGTTTTTCTTCATACGACAATAAGTTTGTGTCCAATGTGATTGTTTCACTTGTTCTCACTTCATTTTGCCTTGTTTCAGGATTTTTATAGAAATGTGTGTAAATAACTTGAAATAAGCAAGAATAAGGCCGATCAGCACACTACAAATAAAGGTAATTACTGAAACAAGTTGAAGGTGAAGAAGGCAGGCAAGGACAAAATCTTGGCTAATTATCCAAAATGATTAAATAAAAACATTTAAAAAACAGTTTTACTACAACGTATGAGCAAGTGCCCCGCTAACTTCTGTGTGTCTCTGTTCAACCAACTAAATTATTTGTATTCCATCAGTACTTTAAAAACTATTTAGAGAACAGCCTCAAAACAATGATTCTGATCACTAGAGTAAGAGAAGCATTTACAGATATTTGTTTTTCTAAAAGTGGCTGTATGTACAAGTCCAGATATTGACACACATTACTCAATTCTAGTAAATGACTTCAAAAAGGCAGAATAAGGCCGATCAGCACACTACAAAGAAAGTTTATTAGTGACACAAGTTCATTTGGATGCAAGCATTGCCAGATAGTAACCAAGTCTTAAAATTGAGATTTTTTGCATTGGAAAGGAAAGGATTTTGGATCGGATTTCTTAATTAATCTTAGCAGGAATACTTAATACGACATAATGTTTGCTAATGAAATTCATTTGACATTTGCACGGAAGGAACATCAATCTACATCATCTATGTTTATATTTAAACCGCAGAAGTCAGTCCCCTGGCACCAAACACCAGCCATCACTACGTCAGACTGTCCAACTCATTCAGCCTTTGGCAGGTTGTGTGATGTTTTTTATTTTAGGCCAGTCAAAATAATGACCAACTCACAATACTCAAAATCATTTTCTAAGTCACACCAAAGTGTTTCAGTGTTTCCTTTCACGCAGCCACTCATTTCTAGTGTGAAAATCCACGTTTAGAGACTTGGAATTTAAGAGATGAGTCGAGTAATCGATTAGGCAATCAAGAGAAAAGTCATCGGCAGCTATCTCGATGACAAATGTTTGCTGCCCCCTGCTTTCGGTTTTTAACTGTTGGTCAGAAGAAGCAAGCAATTTTAAGACATTGCCTTAGGCAATAGGACATTTTGAGACATTTGACAAATGAGAAAAATGTTTGATCCAATAACTGATTCTTCCAAGTGTAAAGGATAAACTACAGTGGCAGCGAATCGTTCAAAGAAACGCTAACACCCCTATTTACAGCCAGTTTTTGGTTTGTTGGCTACTGAAACATGGTGGTTCAACGTGGTGGGCTCCATGGAAGGCCTGTGTCTGTAGATAAAAACAGCTCATTCTAAGGTAACAACTAACAACTGACTAATGGACATCTACAAATAGTGGTATGCCTCTTTAACTGATCCCAGAACAGAACAGAGACAGAATGACCATCCCCCAAAAATCTAATAATCCCACATAACATAAGATAAACACTCAACTTCATCAGGTCGCTGATCTGCTAGGTGGCTTTTAAGGAAACCAGTGACAGTAAAAAAGGAATACATTGAATTATTAAAGACGGAGAAAAGTGAAAATACACATTATAAAATATACATTGCTAAAGATTTACAAAATGAAGCATCTGGCCCAGTTTAACCCCTGGGTGCAAGTAAAATACAAAATATCCATTTTTATTTTGTCCACTATGGAGTAAAAGTTTGGCCCTTGACACAGGAAACTACCGGGGGCCAGAGGGAACTAAAAGGTACTTTTTGTTTGATTTTGATGTCATTTTTTTAATTTAACTTTATGGATCTCGAACCAAACTTCTCGTCTCAGTCTCGATACAAAGGCTTCCCAACAGTCTGACCCCGGCCTCCAACAGCTGATGTTAGGGGGCTTTTTGTTGTTTTTTCTTGTTGGCTCTATATGTGTATTTTACTGTGGAGAAAAGCGTCGCTGCAGCAGAATTACATTACAGAACGCTGCTTTTTTACAGTGTACAGTTCCACTAGAGTAGTAGTAGCTTTTTATAATCAAATTTAATATATTATTATTGTTATTATTATTATTATTACTACTTTATTTTGAGTGCTCTTCAAAACTATTATTTATAACCATGTGATATTTCTTCAAATGTAAATTTAGTTTAGCAAAGAACAAAATGAAAAAGAGGACTGAAGTGCCGTTCAGAGTTGTTTTTTTTTTTTTCATTTATTGCCTTAAAAGGTTTCAGTATTTTTTTAAATGGGGAAAATTAGGAAAGGTATTTACATTTCTTAATCAAACATTTAAATGATTGGGTCGCTCTGAGGACACACAGTCACCACCACCATTTTGCTTTATTTTCAGTCTGAAATCTGTAGATTGATCGCATCTATGCAGTTATCCTTTCTAACTATAACCTGTGTATGTGTAATGACAGGGTCTGTGAGTATCACACCATCTGGAGCAGGAAATCTTAATTTGGGCATAGACGTGGGCGCCTGGGTAGAGCTGGGGTGTAGTTCATTTTTGTAGAATCTCGTTTAAGACACATATTCCATCAGTCCTCATTATTTTATTTGTCAAAGGTAATGAGAGCAGTGAATGTTTTAAAAACAAACGGTCAAATTAGTGCGTGTGGTTTGCAGACATTTATGCGTCTTTTTTGTAATTAGACTGCAGATCATGATGAGTTCTCAGTTGTCTGAGCATCCTTGAATGCACTACCAAGGAGAGTTTTTAAAACAGCCCCTGCTCTCACTCACATTACCACAATATATCTTTAATCAAAAAAGTGAAATGGCTGCCTGGAAGGTAGGAAAACAACACAAACACAATGCTAGTCTTTGGAAAAGCTCCGCAGGAAAGTAAACATGATTCGTAGTTAATGTAGAGAAACACGCCAGGAAAGTCCTTTAAAACACCTTGTCCTCTATCTGTAAAGACCCGTCATGTGGTGACTGTGTGAAACTCAGAAACACCAGCCAGACCTGATAAGGTGGAAACTGGGGAGGCTCAGCTTCCGCATTTCAAAGGGAAACTCGACTTCATTAACTTCTTTCTTTGGGCGCTTCACTCCTGTGTGGGAACCATTGAGGATCAAAAAAAGGACAAATTACACGGTCAAAAAAAAGGCGAAGTGAAGTTGGTCAGGGATGTGCTCACTTTGAAAGTGGCCCGACGTTGGTGTGAAATTGACTCTGTTGGCTCCGCCGCAGACAGTTTCAGGCCGACGGCTTATAAAAAAGAAAATAATGGGCCAGAAAAAACGAAAAAATGATTTGGACCTCATCTCATCGGGGTGAAAGGGGCCAAATTAAAACTGCCCTTATCTCCTCTCACTCAGACAATTACTTCATTTCCAGAACATCATTGTGCGACAGAGGAGCCGACAGATGGACGGCTCTGAGTAAATACAGTTCAACTCTGTCCTTCAAAAAAAAGTCCAATCCTAGAGTCATTATAACCAAATTAGCTTAGTGGCTGCAATATTTAAGAGTGTACATTTTGTTCGTTTGAGTGAAGGAGAGAAAAGATGATGGTGATGATGATGATGTATCTCAGATGGAGTAAAGCAAAGTTTCTATCCACAATGTTGTATACAATTGCTGGTTTTGTAATGCACTGTAGAACAGTCCCATGGTCCTTTTTTATAGAAATGTTATTTCAATGGTGCATTCTTTTTGTTTGATAAATAAAGTTTTGATACAAAAGCAAAGCGTTGTTTGATTTGTAGTTGTGCATTTTGTTTTACATCCCATCAGTGTGCTGGGTGGCAGTCTTTATAACCACGCCCCTGTATCTCTTACAGTAGAGGTGTCATAACTTTAATAACTTTAATTGGTATACACTGTATGTTGAGACTGTTAACTGGCCTTATAAGGAGTTTTTTGGGATTGAGTATAGCGTACACACGTGCTTCCCATCCTTTTTCCTCAAACCCCTTTTCTATTGTTGAGTAAAGTGACGACCCTGATGAAGTGACATTTAATGGATATTTAATATTATTTTTAAAGGCACACTATGCAAGATTTTTACCTTAATATAACAGCTTCAAAGTCATTTCGATGGTAAACGAACTCGTAGTATAGTGAATCATCCCGATTGCAAAGCAGGAGAGGGACGCTGTTGGCAGAACCATAGACATATATACATAGACGCTGCTTCGACTGTGGAGCGGCGTGCCTACAGGGCGGCCATCTTGGAACAGGGCTAGCAGAGGCAGCAGTGCATCAACCTACGAAGGAAAGAGGAACTCCTCAATCTCAAAGTAGAATTATTTGCTGAATTTTGGACCGATTTCCAAACGTATTGATTTGTTAAAAACGTCACACATGTAGCTATGATACAGGGTGCTTGGATATTTTAAAAATGCTGGTTTTACTACCCAAATACAAATTCTACTTAATGTTATCAGCAGACGAGCTTCTGACAGAAGATTTGTGAATGAAAAGATGCTGGACTTCTGTGCCGCGTATGGATGCTTTAATGAGCGGAGCATACAAACCAGATCTCGTGGGAGACAGCAGCTCCTATGTCTACAATAATAATAATAATAATAATAATAATAATGATGATGATAGTGATATAATTATAATAATAACAATAATAATATAATATTAATATAATAATAGCAATAGTAACAATAATAATAATAATATAATGATAATAATAGCAATAATAATAATAATAAAGCAATAATAACAACAATATAGCAATAATAATAATAATAATATAATGACAAAATAGCAATAATTATAATAATATAGCAATAATAACAATAATATAATGATAATAATAGCAATAATAATAATAATAATAATAAAGCAATAATAACAACAATATAGCAATAATAATAATAATAATAATAATAATATAATGACAAAATAGCAATAATTATAATAATATAGCAATAATAACAATAATATAATGATAATAATAGCAATAATAATAATAATAATCTTGGAACAGGGCCACTCGCTCCTACAGTGCATTCATCTATGATTACATCTATGGAGGAATGGTGTTTCTACACAATAAAAGTGATAATAAATCGCTTAGTTAGCTAGCTATTTTCACGAGGTTTGTTTGGCAAACGTCAGACATGACAGACAGATGGACAGACAGACAGACAGACAGACAGACAGACAGAGATAGAACAAAAAGAACCCAGAAAACAATCAGGTGTGTTCAGGTCTTTATTTAAAGTATTGCTTGAAGGGTATACATTGCATTTGAGTATTATAATAATATATATATAATATATAATAATTATAATAATTATAATATAATAATAATTATTATTATATTGTTATTGTTATTACTATTCTTATCATTATATTATTATTATTATTATCATTGCTATTGCTATTATTATATTAATATTATATTATTATTGTTATTATTATAATTATATCACTATCATCATCATTATTATTATTATTATTATTATTGTAGACATAGGAGCTGCTGTCTCCCACGAGATCTGGTTTGTATGCTCCGCTCATTAAAGCATCCATACGCGGCACATAAGTCCAGCATCTTTTCATTCACAAATCTTCTGTCAGAAGCTCGTCTGCTGATAACATTAAGTAGAATTTGTATTTGGGTAGTAAAACCAGCATTTTTAAAATATCCAAGCACCCTGTATCATAGCTACATGTGTGACGTTTTTAACAAATCAATATGTTTGGAAATCAGAAATCAAAATTCAGCAAATAATTCTACTTTGAGATTGAGGAGTTCCTCTTTCCTTCGTAGGTTGATGCACTGCTGCCTCTGCTAGCCCTGTTCCAAGATGGCCGCCCTGTAGGCACACCGCTCTACAGTCGATGCAGCATCTATGTATATATGTCTATGGGCAGAACCAGCAATGCAAGTCTGCAAATCTCGCAAGAATCACTAATTGCTTTACAGCGCGACGTCACATACATCAGCGACATAAGAAGCAGCCTCAATGGAAGACACTATCAGGCATTCACTCAGACGTTACCTGGTCAGTAGACATCTTCAGAGTCTATCTTTGCCTGTTCTATGTCCGACGCTTCCATCCTACTGAACATGTACCGGTATACAGGGGGGAGGGGATCAGGCCGTGAGTGCAGAGACGCAGAGCCGTATATAGAGACGGCTCTAGTGAGAGATACAAGTACTCCGTAGCGACTCTAGGGGGAGCTGTTTGACAAAACCGGAAAACTGCATAGTATGCCTTTAATGCACTACAATAACAGTTGAGAAAAACTGATAAACTTGATTAATCCAAATACTGAAAGTAATAACTGCAGGGATTTTGCGTAAAACAAGCAATCTGGATGAGTTTTGAGCAGATTATTTATTGTAAATACTGTATCAGAGATGAGTTTCCCTCAGGTTCTTAGGAACTTTGTATACATATCTGTGTCTGTATTTTTTAATTTCAAATCACAGAGTGAAGGCTCTGTGAATTATACATTTTCATCTTCAAAAATTAAATCTTTAATAATCTAAACTTAATTTACTTACTTTTCTTCATAGAAATGAATGGAATGCTGAGACACAGGCCTACTGTGTAAGTTTCTTTTAAGTTTTCTCACACCCATTAAAAGCAACAATGCCTTCCGACCCCCCGTGAAGCCACTAGGTTGGGAACCACTGGCCTACACTAGCCATCACAATTTGGATGTAACATTAAAGCAATATTATGTAGGATTTGTTGCGATTCGGCGTCCACTCTTGCAATACCACTGTGGTAAATATGGACAGCTGTACATTTGTTAGGATCAAAGAACGAGTCTACAACTTTGCTAACAGAGCCAAACATCAAGCAAGTGCAACAACACAGACACAGCAAGCAGCTAATATTACTGACACTCCAACTGCAAGAAGACCAGCTGTCTGTGTGCAGCCTTTTATTTCACCAAGCTCTCGTTAACGGCTATAAACTAGTCTGCGATTTACTCTTGTCCTCTCTTTTTTTCTCTTCTTAGCTTCCTCCGTCAACGACGCCTGCGCTGCCCTCTGTCAGCACAGCAAAATGATAGTGAAGCTGCTACGTTAAGGTAGAACAGTTACATAACATGGCTTTAACACTAATTCCATGGAGTCTAACATTAGTATACTAGGTATTTCACTATTTAATGTTACTGACGTTATGGCTCTGGGAATACTAATAATGCCAAGCTCACTGAAACCCCCCTAGGTTTCACCTTTTCACCCCTCATCAGGTTGAACACTGGCTCATTACAGCCACTATCTGAAAGTATGGGGCACAACAAACAACGTACTGATGATTTAGGTATTCTTAGAGTCATGCCAGCAGTGGAGCTAGAAATGTACAATTTATTCTGAGGCTGGGGCTAGAGCAAAGGCCATGGGGTCATTAAAATCTAAAGAGTTCATCCAAGGAAAATGTTTAGGAAGTTTGATTACTCTATGTACCAATAGATTTTGATGAGACTTTCGAAATGAGAGATTGAGTAACAATAAAGACTGACCACTTCTCTAATCTTATTGTCTTCATGGGACTGGAGAGACCTGGATGTGTTGAGTTTACACCCGATCATGTCCAGGGTCATGCAGAGTGCTTGGTTACAATACCATTACACTATTCTATGCATCATAACGAAAACTTGAAACTACACTAATCAAAAAACGTTATTCAAAACTGGACAAATCTCCGCTGGTTGCAGCCGACAGTTGTGGTGGCACTGCAGTCGTTGCTTCACCATCTGTTGCCTGGCGAAGATCTACTGAGTGCACTCTGCTAGTTTAAAATGTTTAAATTACATACTGATCTACTTAAAGGTGTCCTATTATGCTCATTTCCAGCTCTACATTCTTGCTCTGAGGCTCCACTAGAGAAGGATTGCATGATTCACTCTTCATAAGCTCATTTTCTGTCTGAAACAAGTAGATGACTCTTTGCCAGCTTCGCTGTGAGGCAGCACCCAGTGCTTCAAACGCTGTGCGTACCGAGAGCCTACAAAGAAAGCCTAATGATTAATCATAATAGTCCTTATTCCCTAAGGACTATTATTATAGTCCCCGCAGGGCTAGGCTGTTAGCACATTTTGCTGTCACTTATTCTCGCCCGAGCTTTTGTCTCTCAACTCTGCAGGGCAGAGGGCAGCGCTCAGCTCGTTCACATATAAAAAAAAGTGAAGCCAAAACATCTTGATCGCCCCCTGGTGGCTGACTGCAGTATACGTATATGTATTCCATCTTTTATATCTATATTATATATTGCAATAGTGAATTAGGAACAAGCTGAAAGGAAAGCTGTCTGTATGTAGTTGATTAATATGATATGAGTTTAGCACAAATCTGAGAAGGTAGCAGGAAGAACTGATACGGACTGGCTATGTATTTGACGTCAGGATTATTTATTTCACTGACATTGTACATTTGTTTCCAGTAAGATATTATTGAGCGTAAACTTTACGGTTGCTGCTCGACAAACAATGGGCTATTTAGTTCTATTTAGTATATATAAATCAATTCTAAGGCTAATTCTAATTTTCTTGCTGTTTGAGGGTAATGTGAAAAACTACAACCTATATGGACAAAATAAATATTGTAACAAAATTTTAGTTGATCATTTTTAGTCAAATAAACATTTCTTGTGGAGAATTACGTTGGAAAAAAGCTGCCGGATCGATGTGTTTCTGATTACTGTACACACTGATTTTAATGAAACTGGTTAAACCAATTGACTTGGTGTTCTAAAACCAGCAACCGCAA